GATACCTTTTTGAAGAAAATACCACCAAAGAACACCCCGGAAAGATTTTAGTATATTATTTCTTTGTATTGCACACCCACAGGAATAGGTTTTGAGTGGAATGTGTGCTTGAAGATTCGAAGGAATCGTCCATAAAATCTTCAAGTTTAACGGAAGATCAGAAATTGGTTTTTTGGATAAAATTGATCGATGGGATTTTCAGTGCGAGTCGCACATTTTGAACGTTGAACGTGAAAATAGTGGTTTTTAGTCCGTATCATTGAGCTTTATGCGGAGATATATTACCTTAAACCTCTTGGTGCGTTTCTGTTACGTTATCGACTTGGCTCCATCAAGTAATAGTTTAATGGGTATGATGGTGGTACTTTTCTTTCGAAGCAAAACAACATAATCAGATAAGATTATCTTATGACTGCTAATCATGCTCTAAGAAGTTATGTAACATCAATTCCATGCGAATTTGGAAACTTATTTGATCGTTTAAAGGTTGGCGAAAAAAGAGATAGCACAAACATTCATTGCGGAGCTTCATTATTCCTTCGCCCGTTGTGATCTAAAAAGAAGATGGATCAACTTCGACGTTTTCAGAACACATTCTTGAAGTAGAAAAAAATCGAATGTGGAAAATCACGGGGGTATGGGTGGTGTTTTTTTCTTCTAATTATTAATTACTTAATTATTTTCGTTTTTTCCGCGGTATGAAAAGGTAAAGAGACGCATACCGTTAGGAAAAATATTGATATGCCCCTTGTTTCAAAATTATCATTTGAGATGAAAAATGAGAAAAATGGAACGTATACGAACGTGCATAACTTTAGACCTTTAAATGTACACGATTAATAAAATGGCAAATGGAGGGGCGAAACGTAGAAAAGAGCGATGACGGTTAAAGACAAACAGTGGGATTAGAGACCATGAATTTCGATAAAAATTTTAATTAGAATTAGAAAAATTAGAAAAATTCAATTAGAAAAATTTCAATTTCGATTAGAATTTCAATAAAATAGTACTACTAAATATGTAGCTGACAACCAAACGCTTCAAACGGGCTTATTCTTTGCAGACTGTTAAGAGAACTGGAAAAGTTCCTATTTTTTGGTCTCAAATAGTTGATGATTGAGGAGAAAACAGATTAGAAACCAATTTCAATGAACAATCTATGAAATTATTTAACGACTTTGACGCAATGCTCAAAGCTAAAAGGGATCAGTAATTCCTTAATTCTTTTTCGCTTGAAAATTAAAAAATAATTTTTTCAAATGATGATCTTTTCAATGAAAGCCTACCACGACCAGCTAATCACTCAAATTGACTGATTACCTCTTTGTTCTCTTCTGCAGAGAAACGTATAACTTGTGACTTAAAACTTTCAAGAAGCAATATTTGTTACCAGAACACAAATTAATTCCTGAATATTATCGGATGAATTCAGAAAGAACAAAAATAAATATAAGGAAAATTTTCTGCCGACCGAAGAATTTTTAGATTTTAGCATTAGGCTCTAAAAACTACGTATAGAGGGTCCTGCTCTCTTGCCATATTATAAAAACTGAAAAAAGTCTATGCTACAGATGCTCCAATTTTTCACCGGAAAACGTATAGCCAGCTTCGTAACAAACCGGCGCCACAACATTCGACTAGAAGGTGGTTTGGTCGTTGAGAACGTGGATGCACTGCTGATGTCCGAACTTCAGAAGACCAGGGCAGTGCTTTTTGAACAAGCATTCGTTTGTTAGTTTTAACGCTTGGTTAGTGGTAGTCGTTGCACGGGAAACGAGGAATTGGAGTATTTTATGACAATTTAAGGCACAAAAAAACCTGACAATTATGTACAACATTTTGGGTTGCTTACGTACAATAATTACATGGGTTCGGTGGCGTATGAAAATTAACCGGAGGACGCAATGAGGATTAGCTTTCAGACGCAAGCTATGAAACCTTGAGGTATATTCTTGAAAAATAACAGGTTTAAAGAACACTAAAGTACACGTGTCACAACAGTGTGTAGAGTAATGAATCTCAAGAAGTACTCCGTGTGGGAGAATATGCACCTGAGAAAAATTCTGAAATCAACTCCTCCGCAAGATATTGGGAGAGCACCTGATGGTACGAATCAAAGATGACATACTTTTTCATTTGCACCTCATTTATACTTCATCATTTCATTTTTGTAAGGAATCATAATTTCATAATTACGAAAAAAAAAAATTTATAATTAACTTTTAAGGCCCCGTAGAAATAATTTCCTGATTACTCTTTGTACGAACCGATTTATATGTAAGTATTCAACAACGATACAAAATTACAAATATCACACAATTTCTATAGATAATCTCTGATTATAATGGATTTAAGAGTTGAAGAACGCGTTGTAACTTATTTCGATACCGAAAGAATGTTGACGCGAGAAAAGACAACGGGCACTCCGGATAATTTATGAACGCCCCTCCGAACAAAATACATACATATTTATATGTAAAAACATAATCTAGTAAAGTGAATATCTTTGTTTCCACTATTTAAACAAAATGTAACATTAAGGAGTTTGATTGATGGTAGCAAAATCAAGCCGTACGAGAAGAAATTGATAAAATAGATAAAAATAAAAAGGTAACTTAAAACGTTGGAAAAGAAAGTAAAAATCATAACTGCTTTACGCTTTGGCTAAAGAATATTGATTACTAACGATTCTTTACAACAAGAGTATGACTCAAGAAAAGGAATAAAGAGTAGACTCAATTAAGTAGATTAGTGGTACTTTTTAAGGTTAGGATATGGACCAAGATGGATTTACCTGCGAGTAAAAAATATACTATAATAAAAAAAAAAAGGTGAAATACAAAGAAATAAGAGAGCTTTTAATGTGGAAAGTAAAAGGGAAAAATTGGACAGAAAAGAAAAAATATCAGAATTTGATGTAAGATAGTACAGCTAGAAATCCTTTTCGATTTTGAGGCTATAGAATACCCACTATGTCCTCATGAGTGAATGAAATTCATTTCTACGAGAGAAAACACAACCCTTACTTAAAACAAAAAGTCTATTGAAAATTGATTGATTTTAAATTAATGAAAGTATTGATTTCAATCAATTAATTTTACAACTATGCGTAAATTGGGTGAGATTTACGTGAATTAAAACCACAAGTCAACCAAAATCTGCACATATGATAACATCGTGTCTTCCTCAAAATCAGGACGACATACAGAGAGCTAATCCATCAATCCTCGTCAAGAGAAAAATCAAATTACACACATGAATAAACAAAAGAAGAAGAAAGTTTGTTACACCATTGGCGAGGAACCTATACGAAGACAAAATCGACCTAGCGACGAAGGGTACTGCATAAAAATTCCTATCCTTGATACATTAATTTTGATTGGAGCTACACACACAGCGAGAGCCTCATTCTGAGCAATAGTCATTTTTGTGCGATAAAAACGCGGTACTAACCTTCAAATTTTCAGATTAAAAATTGTGAATCTGGGGGAAAAACACCAGACCTTAAAAATAAATAACGATACCTGAAGCGCGATGAACACCCGACATTTTAACGAGTTACTGAAGCATGATTTAGATAATTATTGATTATTAATTGCACGATTAAATAGTTTGTCAGTATAGAATTTGGTGATGTAGAAAAATAATTTACGACAACAGGGAAAAATATATGCAGATGGAAAAATCCATCATCTTATAAAAAAATAAGGCAAATCGAGTCATTCCAAACACTGATAGCTGATGAAATGGCTGCTGGGCGCGGAGTCTAGATTTTGGGGGGATGCAAGTCTGGGTGAAAGGAGATTGGGATGAATATATCGGAAGATCCTGTACTGGATGTGAACAAACATCGAGATGTCGTGATTAAAATAGTATTTTCGCCAAAAAAGCAGGGAAACCCGACTACGGACTCGTTTTACTTGTCTACTCCTGAAAAATTTCTCAGAACGTGGAAATTCCCATTTCGATTGGATTGCGATCTATTACGTCAATTACTTTCGGCTTCAAAAAGGGGTTTCAAAAGTGATTTTTCGGGGGAAAACAGCGGTAGACGTTCCAGCAGAGTGTATTTTCGCTTTTCGCCGTGAGTTCGACTCATCATCGATATCTCAGCAGAACTTTCAAGATATGTCGACGTTCGTTCACTTTACTGAAAAACCGTTTCCTGAACAGTTTCTCGTTGCGATAAAGAAAAGACTGGTTGCGTTAAAACATCGATCAACCAGGGGAAAAATTTTGGTCGTGTCAACGGAAATTTTCTTTTCGTGGCGCAATTTTTCTGGTTTTCACGAATAAAAAATATCACTACGACGAAAAAACTTCCGTTAATACAACTAACGACTTACTTGGTGTGATAAGTCACTCCCTTCGCGAGATGAGTAAGTTTTTACCGCAATGAGAAAGTTAGAGATTGCCCAGGAAACTGTTTCCTTTGCGATACTGCTGCGCTAAGGAAAAACGTCATATAAACCTTCAGGCGTTGCCAAATTTCCGGTGGGGGATCACGCATTTTCGGAGATATTTGTAAATATTGTCCTTCCAATTTTTCAGATAGTTTTGTTCGCAATTTTACTCAAAGTTCTTGAAAATTTCTCGGAAAAAGATTCAAAACTTTCCTCAAAAATAAACATTTTATCGGAGAAAATTTGGCAACTCTCGAATGTTCATACGGCGTTTTTCCTTAGCACGGCAGTATAATAATTGATCAAATTCGTCTCAAAACTCCAATGCGTAGTAACGTGGGGTATTTCACATCATCGAGTTAAATTCCGTTGTGTCATCATACGAATTGTTCATTACACTGAATATAGTCTTAAATCGAGGGTGGAGGTTGAGAGATTGAGGAATGGGGATGGGATAAGCGCTGGGAGGGACTACATGGCTCATGCTACTAGATGTACTGTCTACGGGGCGGGGAGCGGCGATGCTCTGGCGATGCAAACGATGCGATCACAAGATGCGACAGTCAAGATTTTTAGATTGGTTTTTTGGGAGTTTACATTCTAGCGCGGAGTCCATGTATCGTTGGTAGGCGGTTTGAGCGTTGAGAGTACGAGTACCTGTCCGTCGATGCCAGACGCTGCTCTTGGAGCTCTCCTCGTTTTCGGGAGCCTCCGTCCGCGGGTCCTCCGACAGATCCTCCGTGTCATCATCGTTGTCCGAATCCTGAAACACAAAACCAGAAATTCGTTAATGGAAGTTCTTTAACTAGTTATTAGCAAAAAAAAAGAAAGAAAGAAAAAAAAAAAGTCACCAAGCCCCCGTCACTCACAGATAACTAAAACAAAAGTTGCAATGATTTTGTGGAGAAGACATGCCATAACGCCTCAATGGGTCAGTTGCGCTGGTCACAAAATCGTGTTTTGATGCTTAATCCTTGCAGATTAGCTGAAAATAATAAGGTCTGTCCAAACCGCAACTTCCTACGTTCAATATTAACCGAGATATTGCCCTTTGAAAAGTCGGGTTTTTGACGTCATCCACCGCGATATTAATCCTCAATGAGCCGCAATTGTGCCGACGGAAACTGCAAAAATGAATAAAAGAGGAAAAAAACCAAGAAGCACGCAATCTTTAGTTTTAACCCATTTGTACATCGATCTTTTAGAGTCAAATGCGTCAAATTTTGAGCGTTTGGCTGCGCGTACACCTCGCTGCAGCACAATAAAAGCACAAAATGTAAAAGAAAAAAATAAAGTACTTTGTAAATCATTAAATTTGACACGAAACCACCAATATTTAAAAAACACATCATATTATTGTTCGCCTTTGATAAATTGATGCATATTTTTTTCCCATCAACTTAAATGAGAATAATCAATGCAGAGTGTGCAAACTTTTCAAAATCATGAGTTAAAAACGCTGACTATGCGAGTATAAATATTAAAGCCTAGCGAAGCGGAGCGGCGAATGCTGCCAGCGCAAAACGCGCATTGGCGCCTACAAACCCAAGTGGATACTTCACGCATTACACAATGCTTGANCTTGAAGTGTCCACTTAGGTTTGTAGGCGCCAATGCGCGTTTTGCGCTGGCCGCCCGCCCGCCGTGCAGCGGCGCCCGCGCCTGAAGCAACTATTTCACAACAGAGGTGTTGCACATTATTATACGAAATTGAACGTATTAAGAATGACAGACATCCTTTAAAAGTACAGATCTTTCCTCGCAAAATAAATCAAGATACTTATCGTACACAGGAAAAATCTAAGAGCCTTTAGCTTAAGCAAATATAGAGGTTCATCCGGTTCAGGTAGAGCAAGGTGGGAATTTCTTGAAAGATAATTAAGTCCTGTTACACCAAAGAAGGTGTAGAGAGTTTTAGTGAATTTTGTCTCATGAAATTGACGCTCCCCCATTTTTACCAAAACTCTCAACTATATATTATTCTCCGTTGGACCAAACAGACAAAACAAAAAAACAGGCAAACCCTCATTCTTCCGAAACATTATAAATTTACATCCAGAAACGTCGTGAGCAATTGTCGTTTGTATTTAAATGTGGGCCAATTAACTTTGGGTCTCAACTGGTACGTGGACCAAAACTCCCGTGCCGAAAAAACGCGTAGACGTAAATTACTGGAAAAAACAGGTGCGCGGATAAAAAATCGTTGACGAAATGTCCTATAACCTATCCTTAGGTTACTATCAATGTCCAAAAGCATTCGTAAGTTCGTGGCTAGTACACGGGGCGTCGAAACGCCTTCAATTTTTAGGGTCTGCAATACGGACATCCTATGAGCACGAATAGTTGCATCCTCGAGCCTGGAGTTATTACCGTTGTCCAAAAGCGTTCTCACAATCAGTCTCGGATTTGTCATTAAAATACCACCAATCAAAATGGTGGTGCTAAAATTTGCAACACCACGATTGAGCGAACAGCAACTTTGCACTAAAATTTTATCGGGTCGAGTTCCGAAACTGGATTCGATAAAAACCGAGAGCTGCACATAAATTGACAAAGCACTGACAATTTTTCACCGAAGAGAAAGAGGGAAGCGAGGGCTTGTAAAATGCTTCGCGAAATGGACGATGGAGCTCGGATTGCGAAAGAAATGCCATTTTTCAACAACACCTTACTCCTACTCATAAAAATAAAATGAGCAAAAAGAGAGAAAAAGATAGTGAGGAAATGTGTTGCGATTGAAATACGATGCTCCGCATGAGGTGCCGTTGCTCAACTTTGACATTTTCATGACATTTTAGATGGAGTTAGGGGGGAAAGGGGGAAGGGGGGCTCCGGATAAAAAAATAGGCGCGACCTGGAGCTGGTGATCAGATTCCCCTCGATCTCTCAATCCCCCTTCATATGTCTTGTCCCGTTCGAGTCATGACAATGCCACAACTTACGCGAGAGGAAAGAATAAAATTCACCCCTCTTGAGAGGTGCCTAGGAACTGATTGTGAGTTCTGATGTTCCCCCGCCATGACTGCCCTCCCATACTGCCGTGCTGAGGAAAAACGCCGTATGAGCCTTCAGACGTTGCCAAATTTCCTTCGTTAAAAACCGAAATTACAGTTCCACACTATTTTGCTCTATAATCTAGGAAATAAAATCAAGTAAATTACAGTTCAAATTTTTGAATGTATATACATGCTTAACAGCCGCTTTTACAGCGCAGATTCTCGCTCGACGACGCCAAATCGCTATTGCCCCCTATCTTCCCTGAGATCATCTGGCAATTGACACCTCCTGATCTCCTCCTCCACCCCTTGTCGCCAACCTTTCACAGGACGTCCACGCCGTCTCCTCCCTGCAGGAACCCAACCGAAAACTAAACAATTCTGCGACTCTTTCCATCGTTCAAAAAATGCGAGACCCAATTTCACCCTACATTCAACTCAACAATTAGTTGTTTCCCCTTACAAAGGAACGTAACTCAATTCCAAGGTCGCAAAGTTGACTAAAACAAATCAATTTTTAAAGAAAATAGACCTGCACAATTTTCGTCGAAATTCGTCTGATTTTCACATGGGATCGGAAGAGAAGTCCATGAAATTCTCAGTCAGAAATTCTCGAGATTCTCCTGGTAAAATGCTATTTGCGCAAGAAAATCTGGCAACATCGAAATGAAGTTACGTTCTTTCGTGTGAGAAACTACGCATTGCGTCAGAGTTTATACGAGGGCGGTGTGAATCAGGTCCTAGGTCACTCGAGAGTCGGGCCGACCGAAACTTCGCCTCTGAAACTCGTACTTGGAGGTTCGAAAAAGCTGCGCGATCTGGACACCGCTCGTGATCAGCGACGCGCGCCGATCAGGCGATCAGTCGAGCCGATCGGATCGGGGACCCCACCTATCGGGAGCAGAGCGGAACCACCCACAAACCAGCGCACGTTCAAGGTTGCGTCGCGACGCCACGACGGACGCGGTCGCGCGAGCGTCGCGCGCCGCACCGTGGGAGTGCTCACACCTCGATTTGAACCCCCCCCCCCCCCCCCCCCCCCCCNAACGCCGATAATGCCCTCCGGTTATATAACCCATCAGCGACTCAAGAGCACAATCGTTCATTGTACTCCCAACGGAGCTGCTCCGAACGCACTTCGCTCTCAGAGAAAAATATTGCTCCTCGTATTTTATGCACTCAAGTAGCGAGGCGCGAAAGATCGATTACATCGATATTTTCCCGATTAAAGCTGTGGTAAAGAATCGATTATTAAGGTGTTTGTTGCGAGCAACCTGTTCATCGATCCTTTCTCATAGGTTACATGGCAGATCAATCGATGTATCGCAAAGCACGCCACGCCACGGTGGAGCACGTTGCATGGGTTTCAGTTGCAGTAGTGAGGCGTGAAAGATCGATTATATCGATATTTTCCCGTTTAAAGCTGTGGTAAAGAATCGATTATTTAGGTGTTTGTTGCGAACAGTGTTCCTTTCTTGTATGACTAGTAAAATTCTACGTGCCAAATTATCAACTGCCTTGAAAATTCACGACGTTAATCAAAATATTTCAACGTGAAAGTCGAGATCCTTTCCGCGCGTAAAACACTCTGCGTCACTTCACTCAGGCATACTGAACCTGATTTGGACGGAGTTAAACAGAAAGGAACCAAGCCACATCAGCTAGTGCCAAATTTAATCGGGCAAGTTAATTTTTTTCATGAAAACGGTTGTGTGGATTTTCGTGCAAATTTCAGTGAAAATTCTTTATAATTTGAAGCAAATTCCTTAAAAATTTCAAAGGAATTCGCACAAACGATCTCTCGTAAAAAATTAAATTGCTCAGTTAAATTTGACAATAGCAGATGTGGCTTGGTTCCTTTCTGTTAAACTCGGTCCATTTGAGGTCCTCATAAAACATTTCAAGTTTTGATGATGTATGGCCCGCGAAGATCGGCTCTCGCACGCGAACGCGCAATCCTGTCATCCACAATTAAAACTGTATACGCGGGCACACGGTTGACCCAAAAATAAAGCGAGCAAACCCATTTTAATTCAACGCCTTGACGAGAGCCGCAGTTTCACTTCCAAGCGCTAATGAAATCCGAGCGTCATTTTTGCTCCCTCATCGCACAACACCGACAACCGACCCGAAAAGAGAAAAAAAAATGGAATCTTTTAATTGAATTCCCCGCGTCATTTCGGCAAAATCCGCACACGGGGTTGTCGCGGACGGAGGAGGAAAGGAGATGACACGATAAACAAAGAGAGAGGGAGAGAACGGTAATCTAGGATTCCAATTAAGTTCAAATGACGGGGCTAAAAAAAAGTAAGCAATGAGTTTATTTTGCGTCCCGTCTCTGCAGAGCGGGATATTGAACCTGCTTCGACAGAGATACAACCCGAAGAGGTACGGAGGGCGCACAGTGGATCGAGTTGATGAGAGAAGTCGGGCGTGAGATTTTTAAATAAAACTGCAAATTTTGATGTTTAAATCGTCACAATTTAAATTCTAAGGGGTGTTTCTAGCAGGAAATTTCACGGGGAAACCAATGGAGCCACCTTTGGAACCTCAAAATATTGTATAAACAGAGTTATCAGATCTTAAAGTTTCCGAATTTTGTCCGATCTCTCCTATTGACTCGATTCACTGTGAGGCGGTGCACTGTGGTGACCGTTAATTATCATCATCCTCGCTGTCAGGTCAGCTTGTTAATTGCTGCTCTGGGACTTTTTCGAGCGCATAAAATTGTTTTTCAGCGTTTTAAATGTTGCAAAAGCAGCAGTTA